CAAATTATGTAATCATTTTAAATAATTCACAGAAGAACCACTTGCATGTATTTCAACAACAGGACCACCTTTTTAAACACGTGGGAAGCAGTAAATACCGGGTTAGCTGTTCACGGATTGAATAAATATATGCATAAATTTGACTCGCAATGTGAAAAAAAACAAAAAACATTTGAGCGACAGACTTAATTTGTGGGAGTTATGGTGATAATGTGGCTGGGTATTAATGGAAGGGTGCGTCGTATTTATTGTTTGTTTGTTTATAAATATGTCTAAAATTGATCGATATTCTAAATACACTTGAGTCGCCTTCTTACTATAAAAACAGCAGTTTCCTAGATTTAGGCCTTTAAGTCATTTGATTTCTTAGAGCATTTGGACTCGCAAGTTTTTCAAGAGATTGAGTAGGTAGAACAAGTCAGTAAAACAACCGTGTGAACTATAACTAGGACAAAATGTGAACGAAACTGTTGTGTAATAAATATATAATATATACATACCTCAAAAGAATAAACTTTGTCTTTCAGTTGACAAAAATAAAAACGAAATATTAATTCTTTTGAAAGTTATAACTACAATTTATAACATTCAGAATTGTAGTGCTGTCAAATTTTGTCATGCTAATTTTCAAAACACTAAGAGGTTAGGCAAAGTATTGAGCAATTTTCTTTCTGTCCGTCGCACCAGAAATGCTCGTGAGGGTGTTATAATTTGACGATCAATCCCACTGTTCGTTGGTAAAAGAGTTGGCGATAGGTGATGATGGCTAGCTGCCTTCATTCTAGTCTTTCACTGCTAAATTCGGGATGGCTAGCGCAGATATCCCTCGTGTAGCTTTGCGCAAAATTCAAAACAAACAAATTCTTTCAGTGAGAGAGTATGTGACAAAACAGCAGGAAAGAAGACAACGCAAGCCATTAACTTATCTATCATAATAACACACAAGCTTCATTCATCTTTGGTTTCGGTTCAAAAACAAAAAGTAGTTCAGGGATGATTTGAATAAAAATATAATAAGTTTTAAGTGGGAAGAGTTTTTATTTTACATAATATTGGAGGTTGGAATCGTGAATTACCAGAAAACCAATAAGTCAATGACGTCATGCACTAGCTGTTGTATATATATATATACATTTGCTAGGCTTAGCATGTTTGATAAACGTAACAATGAAAATTAGTGGACTTAACATGTAATTAATCACGACAACTTAATTATTAGGCTTACTCATTTCGTAATAAGCTACATACAAACACTGGAGTAAACTGACACCAAGGCATCGCAATTGTTTTACCACATAATTATTTAAATTTCTAAGTCACGTTCTCATAGATTAGAATCATTAGATTATAAAGACGACAGAAACAGAATAAGCTTTGTGTGGGTCAAACGTCAGAAAACATTGCCCTGTACTTTACAGGATCACGATTTAATATTATTAACTATTCAAAAATATGACTTAATTCCTGTCTTAGGCACTGATAAGTCTAAAGCAGGCATGCGTTCAGTTTCTCGTCTCCCTCAAGGTCGAGATAGTCAAGAAACAAGTGCTTGACACACGAGTCTGTTACGCTGATTGGTGGGAATAATAGGGGAGGGTGAAAAAGTTGTGGTTTGGAGGTTGTTGAAACCATTCATGTAAACACTTCTTAGAGAAGCACTACACATATTAGACGAGAGCCCTCTGTTAGAAGCATTCATTACTAAATACGATGACGAGGAACCCACTTTGAGACTAATGATGGTTGGAGACGGCTTGAATGGTTAATGAAGGAAAACTTTAATATAAGTTTAACATAACAACAAATGTACAACGTTTCGACAAGGTTTTGTCATCATCAGGTACAAGTAATTTACACTGACACTGATATATAAATATACAGTATTGAACAAAGAGGTCACATGACCGGATACTGTTGCAAAACTTAGAAGAGATATCTTGGCACCCCGGGGTGTTGGTTTAGAGCAAGGTTCTTTTGTTCAATTAAGATGGATTCCTTGATTTTTCGTTTGTTTATGTTGGGTTCTTTGTTTAAAATGATTATGTTTTTAATAGATATACTATGGTTTTTTGAGTTCGGACACACAGTTTAAAACCAAAATTCACCGCAAGAACACACACACACTGGTTCTAAATTGTAAGAAATCCCACGTAGTCTGTTTTTTTTTAAACCGATAAAGCGTTTCGCAGTGTCACAGTAAACGTATGTTCAAGTCTGTATTTTAACATAAATAACACTTTCTATTCAGCAAAAAAAAGCACACGTTCTGTTTTACATCATTATGAAACTAGCACGCGGGTTTTTTTATTGTTTTATGCCTCTTTAGTAAATGTGCTTACGTTCCAGTTTTCGCACACCTGAGGTTAGCTGTACAAACAGGGTAGAAATGGAGTTGAAGCAAATAAAAAGTGAGTGTTAAAATAGTCCACAAAGCAGGTAGACAAAACTTTTACAGTTTCTACGCTCGTGGAATACATATCCAAAATAAGTGAATAATATTGGAGGTAGTTTTCTCGTACATATTCTGTTCTACTTTTCACGTTAATTTTCGGTAGTAAAAGCTTTTTACACTGATGAAAACGATTCACTAAACGTTTCTAAATTGAGTATAAAAATTGAACTATCAAATGACCCGCTGTTAAAAGGTAAAGACAATACAAGATAGCACAAGATAGATTGTCTTGGGTTTACGGGAGTTATTATTAGTTTGTACGAATTCAAATCGTAGATATTTATATATAGACTGAACTAAAGCAAAAGAGAACGACAATAATTATTGTATTTTGAGTGCGAAATTAATCTAAATTTACTCAGGTGTTCTCTGGGAAATATCACGCTTTAAAATATAAGTTAAAAAGACCACCGTATTCTAATATGTACGCATATGTACACTTACAACTCTTTATTCTCAGCAGAATTTAACAAAAGAAATGTTTTCAACCTTTCAATGGGGGTGAATGGTAATGTGAAACCTTGTAGGTTCAGGTATTTCTTTCATTTCTTAATATATTTTTAATAATAAAACATAAAAAAAAACTTATTTCGTTTATGTATTTATAATACCTTTATTATGACTGATCATAAAGTTTTTATATACAGCTTTAGCTCCGGCAATTCAGCGATAAACTTGACGGCTTATGATGCTAAAATTCTCAATTCGATCCCTGTTGTAACTAACCCATTGTGCAATTTTGGGCTTAACAACAAATAAGAAAACAAGTTGTCGGTATCCCTACATGTGGGTGTGAATATACGTATTTTTATTAAGGATAATGTATTTAAAAAAAATTTATCTACTTTAACATACGTATATATATATATATATATAT